TGTGCGTCTACTATAATACAGCATTTTTCCGGCCCTTCAAGAAAGAAAAACAGAACCTCCTTATGCACAGAAACATTTTCAGAAGTGTTTTAATTATATCAAATGGTTTTTCAGAAACACGATTTTCCGCCACATCTCACTTGGAATACGCACATAAAATAGTTCGCGTATTTTTTTGAAAAAAGCTATAACAAAATACTCGGACATACCTGATCATCATAATTCTTTTCAGTTGCATCTGGAGGTTGAATGGTAGCCATGAAGTCATCGTTGAAGCGAATCTCGGGTATCAGTACCTAATCATATTGCTTCAGATTACTATAGAAGTTTCAGTTTTCAGCAAATTGTTCTAATAATTGATTCCCTATAGGCCCCAGTTGTAGCTCATACCATGGATCTCCTACAGAATCAATCGCCTGACTCAACGATAAGGTTTAAACTTACTGCGAGCGCCTGCTTTGCAGCTACCATCTTCGCAATACGTTTACTTGGACCTTCACCACGACCAACTATTATAGAATCTGGAAATCACAAGCTCATTTTTATCGCCACTGACTGCTTGAAACACATTTAGTGGCTGATCTCGGCTTGGTGGGAGAGCAAATAGCAGTCAGCGAAGTTCGCACAGGCCACGACGTGAAGACGTGTATATTAATGTGACCAAAGAAGCTCATCTGCGCCATTTCGCAGCTTCGCGAGAGAACAGGTTTCATCAGAGGTTGACCTCTCAGATCATGAAATAACAAAAGGAACTAGCGAAAGTAAAAATGCTTCTCTCTGCACCAAGCCGAACAGCGCCTAAGGCAGCGTTCAGACTTCGCGACGGCAGCGTTTCGGCGCCAGGGCACATCATTGGTTGGGGATTTTAGTCGACTCTATACGACCCCCCCCCTTTTTTGGGAGTTGGTACGACCCCCCCCCCCCCCAGCCCTCTGTCCTTCCTCATCGAATCGAGCCGTCGAGCAGGGGGAAGGGGGGAGGGAAGAAAGAGAGGGGGGGGGGTTAAGGGGTTAACAGCACATGTGAAAAAAGTCGTGAGACAATACGACCCCTCCCTTTCTCCCCTCTACCAACTTTCAGATTTTGCCCCCAACTTCCTGCCACCTTTTTCCGAGATCGTCTCCAAAATTTCCCGAAAAGTTCCCTACTTTTACTCAAAAATTTTGCTGTCGAGCGGGGAGGGGGGGGGGGGCATATAGTACGCATGAAACAGGAAAATCACCAAAAGTCAACCACCACTCCTACAACGCCAAAACGTAAATACGACCCCCCCCCTCCCAACAATGACCAAGTACGACCCCCCCCCCTTTACAACGTCCATGAAGCGAGAAAAATCAACTATCAAAATAAATTTTTCTCAGCCCAAATACGACCCCCCCCTCCTGGCGACCAAATACGACCCCCCCCCCTATTGAGGATTCCCCAACAACAACGTTCCCTGCCAGTTTGTGACAGAGCTTGAATATGTCCGCATTTACACTGTTTCCGTCGAATATT